GCGCCTGGGTGGCTCAGTTGGTTAGGCGACTGCCTTCGGCTCAGGTCATGATCCTGGAGTCCCGGGATCGAGTCCCACATCGGGCTCCCTGCTCGGCGGGGAGTCTGCTTCTCCCTCTGACACTCCTCCCTCTCATGCTCTCTGTCTCTCATTCTCTCTGTCTCAAATAAATAAATCTTTAAAAAAAAAAAAAGAAATTGGTTCATGTGATCGTGGGGGCTGAAGGCAAGTCTGAAATCCACAGGGCAGGCTGTCAGGAAGGGCTTGAGCTAACACTTCCATCCACAAGTGAAGAAGTCAGCCATTTGAACACCTGCTGGGAGAGCCTTCTAAGCAACCGACACAGTATGTGCAAAGACTACATGTGGAATTTCTGCTTGCTCAGGGAAGCCTTGGCTCTGCTCTTAGGGTATTCCAACTGATTTAGTCAGGTTCACCAAGATTATCTAGAATAATCTCCTTTACTTAAAAACGTCAGATGGTGGGCTCTAATCACATCTACAAACCTTCACGGCAACACCTAAATTAATGAATAACTAGGGTCTGTAGTCTAGCCAAGTTCACACATAAAATTGACCATCGCATCTGTGAGTAAATGGAATAGGGCTGGCATATGGTTTGATAGTCCTTGAGGCTGGGCTGATAGGTACAGGGGAGGTTCGTTATACTATTCTGTCTGCTTTGTACTTCTGTCTGCCTGTACTTCACAATTGTCTACAATAAAAAAGTTTTAAATATACTTTTAAAAACACTCAGAAACTCACTGCTTTATATTTGATATTTTTCTTTCTGGATCCTTTTCTCCACACATTCTTACATAGCTAAGATCATGCTGGAGTTACTATATCTTACCTCTTTCACAGTGGTATATCATCAGCACCTTCACACCTCATTAAAAATTCTTCCCAAAGGGGCACCTGGGTGGCTCAGTTGGTTCAGTGACTGCCTTCGGCTCAGGTCATGATCCCGGGGTCCTGGGATCGAGCCCCGCATCAGACTCCCTACTCGACTGGAAGCCTGCTTCTCCCTCTCCCACTCCCCCTACTTGTGTTCCCCCTCATGCTGTCTCTCTCTCTCTGTCAATTAAATAAATAAATAAAATCTTTAAAACAAAATTCTTCCCAAATATCAAAATTATTAGGAACTCAAGCTCTGGCACCACACAAACCTGGTTCAAATCCCAGTTCTGCTGTTCATTGCTGAGTGACCTTGACCTAAACTTCCTAGGTTCCCTGTGACTCAGTTTCTTTTAATAGAATTATTCAATTCATTCATTCATATTAATGGAGTGTGTCCTCTGAGTCAGATCCTGTTCTAGGTGCTGTGGCTATACCAATGAACAAAGCAGACAAAATCCTTGCCTTTATGGAGCTGACATTCTAGTGGGGGAAACAGATACTAAGAAACTAAATACATAATGCATAGGGGTTTGTAACTAATCCAGAGAAAAATAAAGTGGGGTATGGGGGATAGAGAGTGCGAGAAGCAGGATATGGGGATTGCTACTTCATGTAAATAGGTCAGGAAAGTCTTTTCTGATGAGATGACACTTGAGGAAAGTGAAGGAATCAGCTGTTTGAATATCTGGTGGAAGAGCATTCTAAGCAAAGGATACGGTATGTGCAAAGGCCCTGGGGTAGGAACATGTTCAAGATACAGAGAGGAGGCCAGTGTGGTTGGAGCAGAAGGAACTAGAAGATGTAGGAAATAAAGTCAGAGAGCTAACAGGAAGTAGACAGGACAAGAGGAAACCACTGGAGGGTCTGGACAAAGGAAGGACAGCTGGCTTCTGTTTTAAAGGGTCTACTGTCTAGCTGCAGTGAGAAAAATAAAGTGAAGGGTACAAGGGCAAAAACAGGAAAACCAATTGGTAGGCAATTAGAATCATCCAGATGAGAGGTGCTGGTAGCTTAGATTGAGTGGTAGCAATGGAGGCTGTAAGCAATGTCCAGATCCTGCATATATTTGAAAATAGAGCCCACAAGATTGCTGATGTATGTGGAGTGAGAGACAGGAGGATTCAAGAATTATTCTGAAATTTTGCCTCAGCAACTGGAAGTACAGGGTGGCCATTAATTGAGATGTGAAAACAGCGGAGGAAAAGGGTTTAGTAGGGAGAAGGTTAGGATCCAGACTGCTTTTGAAGAAGGCTGTCCATACCAGCACAAATCCACATGCATGGAGAGAACAGGAGAAAAGAAGGCAGCAACATTTTGCACATGAAATGCTGACCAGCCAGCGGTAATTGACTTAGCAGACCCAAGAAATCCTAACCTAAATCAATGAGGAAATTAAGAATCAACCAATTAAATAGTAGCATCCTCAAAAAGCTCAGGAATTTGTGGATTAGGTACAGCTGGAAGTTGGGTTGGTGGGCATAAAATAAATAAGATTAGTTTAAAGCTGTTTGAAAAGTAGGAGCTCCCTGGATCCCTTCTCCCGCTCTTTGCTGATGAGAGACTACCTCTCCCTAGTGCAGGCAGAGGAACTGAAAGGCACAAATCAGTTGAGGGTGGAGGCATCATACCCCCAAACAGCAGGATTAAGGGAAGTGGGGTGTATTCAGTGTTTAGACTTCAAGCCCTCTACCCCCATTAACCCTGGGGGCTCTAGGTTACCCTTGCCCTCCAGGCAGAACTTTGGAAGAGCCTTCTTTTATGGGGAATCCAAGCAGCCCATGAAGGAAAAATGTGTTGTTGGTGGGGTGTCTGGGTGGCTCAGAAGGTTAAGCGTCTGACACTTGATTTCAGCTCAGGTCATGATCTCAAGGTTCTGAGATTGAGCCCCATGTCGGGCTCACACTGGGCATGAAACCTGCTTAAGATTCTCTCTCTCTCTCTCTCCCTCTGTCCCTCCCCCACTCTCTTAAAAAAAAAAGGGGTTGTTGGCATTTGGAGTTCCCCAGTAAAATTATCCTATAGTGAAGCTTGAGTCAACTACTGACAACCTCCATTTTTACTTCACCCCCTACCTTAAATATGAGAAGATAAACAAGGATTGCCCAGTGTCTAAGGAGTCTCATCACAGTTTTACAGTGGAGTGTAAAGAAGGAATGCAACTAGGTATTTGTATTCTATCAGCCATCTTTACCAAGAGTCTGTCTGTATGTTGTTTGCTTACCTCCCATACCTTTTGCCACCTGCCCTCTTCCTTCCTAAAAAGTAGTGGTGTTCCAAGAGGCCTCTGATTTTGTTGCTTTGCTCTTGTCTATCTAAAACTCACTTCTGAATCATCTTAGAACTTGACCTCTCAGTAGGGGTAGTCTCATTGCCTTTCTCTGCATTTCAGAACCATGGTCAGGGATAAAAATACACTCTGGTGTGAAATGGGCTCCATCACACTATCATAGTATCTATGGCTGCTTTTGCACTACAACAGCAGAGTTGAATAGCTGTGGCTGAGACTGTATGGCCAGCAATGTCTAAAATATTCACTATTAGGCCCTCTGCAAGAAGAGTTTGCAGAGCCCTGATACAGATGGTCCCATTTCGTCCTAACAGCCCTTGAGGTTGACATCTGTCATCCTTGTTTTATCACGAAGGAAGCTGAGGTTGAGAGAAAGCACGTAACTTGCTCAGAGTCATAGACATATCGGTAACATCGTCCAAGTGTCTGTTGACAATAGCATATGGTCTCCCATCACAGTCATTTCCCTACCTCCCAGGACCCTCAATGAGGAGATACCATAGGTCAAAGAAATCCAAAGTACTGAAGTGTCAAGCCAGCTAAGACATCATAAGTACTTTTCCTGGAGCTAACGGCCATTCTATGTGTCTCTGTCTCTTTCCTTTTTCAGAAGGGACTCTGTCCACTGGTGCAAGAGCACCAACCTCACCGTAGGATCCCAACCAACCCTCCAGCTCTCCCGCAAACCTCCTACATCTCTGCCACCCTTTCCCCAAGCAGACAGCCTGACCTTTCCGAGATAAACTCATTCTACAGTGGAATAGGGAATATCAGTGAGTTCCAACACAGCCATCACAGAGGGTGCTCCTGTCCCACTGTTCCAGAGCTCTGCCAGCCCTCAAGGCCGGAGGAAAAGCCCTCCCCTGTTCCCAGCTCAAATGAGCACAGAGGTGAGAATAAACCAAATCCAACGCTTCTGAGGGAGAGGCTGCCCCAGGCTATGGAGCCCAGTCCTATCAGGTGAATTCATCCCAGGCTGCAGTGCTGAGCTACAGAGCAGTCTCCTCAGAGAAGACCTATTCCACAAGTAGAGCTCTTTGAGGGCGGAGGCTGTCTTATTGACCACAGGGCCTTACTTAGGGGAGGGCTTGGCACTTGTAAGCAACAAATGAGAGCTGTAATCATTATGCGTGCATATGAGTTTGCTAAATAAATGAATCAGTGAATGATGGTCTCACAACAAATCTCTTAGCACCGGGTAGTTAACCACATCTACAAACTTATAATCTACAAAGTATTTTTCACATCTTCTACCCCAGTGCACACTTCCAGGAATGTTTAGGGAAATACAGAGAGCTCTCAAACCTCGATTTCAGAGAGGAAAGGCCATTAAAAGGTTAAGTAACTCAATCAACATCACACAACCAGAGAGGGACAGAGGGGAGATGTGAACCCAGGGCTGATTCAACAGCCTGTGTTTCTTCCAGCAAAACCACCCTGCTTCTCTCTGCCAGAACACAGATGGCCTCCTCACTATGTACATGTCTTTTTTTGCTCTTTCTCTATCTCTTCCCTTCTCTCTAAGGTCCCCTTTTTCCTCCCTCTTCCTTGTCTCAGGTCCCATAAAAGGATTCCTTGACTGTACTAATGATTAAATATTGTTGCTTTTATATTATTTTTTTTAAGATTTTATTTATTTATTTGAGAGAGAGAATGAGAGAGAGAGAGCATGAGAGGGGGGAGGGTCAGAGGGAGAAGCAGGCTCCTCGCTGAGCAGGGAGCCCGACGTGGGACTCGATCCCGGGACTCCAGGATCATGACCTGAGCCAAAGGCAGTCGCTCAACCGACTGAGCCACCCAGGCGCCCTAAATATTGTTGCTTTAAAAAAAAAAAAAAAAAAAAAGTGTGCTTGCGTTTCTACCCAGGGTTTCTCTGCAAAATTTTAATCTAATAACAGTAGGTAAAGAAAACATACAAGGCCACTTGCATTTAAGAACTCCACACGTAATTCTATTTTCTTTACTGAACCACGGTGATTAAATTTTAAATATATTGAGCACGCCTGATTGCTTTTTATGCAATTGTCCTTCAACCTGACCACATTAAAAGTTCACAAGATTTACCTCCCCTAGTAAAAGAGCAAGCTCCATTTACACTGGAAAGCCTTTTTAAAACAATCACATAAATCAAGTAGCGAAACTCAAAAATATGTTCAGCAGACACATGTGCCCTGGGGCAAGTTCCAAGTACCAGTTATAAGCTCAGCAATCCCGAGAGCCTGCCGGCCACTCTGGGTCAAGTTCACCCAAGACCTGATGCCTATCAGATGTCCTGAGGAATTCATGTCAGGGCCAGGCCAAACAAGCCTTTCCTCCCTTCCAGAGTGCCTCATCAGATTCAGATTCTCTCCTGCTGCAAATTGGACATGAATAGGCATAGTGGCCAGCATAGTGGATGTACTGATGCTGGGGTAGGAAATGAAGTTCAAGTGTATGGCAGCAAGGATATTATATGGCTGCCCCTGCCTAGGAACATCCATCCATTCAGCCATCTACCTCTACAGCTCTGCTCTACAACCAGTCCAGGTAGGGACCATCTCCCTTGAATGCCTCATACAGTGCCACCTCAGGCTCATCATTCTCCAGCAGATGCAGATGGTGCGGGATGAGGTACTGAGCAATGAATCCCAGCAAGCATTTCAACAGCTGCTCCTGCACCTCAGAAACGACATGGTTCAGAAGGGGGAATGAACAAGGACTTTCTGTGGTTCTCTTGGAGGCCTGTGGCTATGAAGACATTAGGGGAAACTTGCTGGCCACACATCATGGGGGAAAGTGAAAGTGTGAGGATATTCTTCAATTCTCGTGCTTTACTTCATTGTACCTGGGCACAAAGCCTGGGTCCCACTGCCCCTCATCTTCAGGAACCTCTGGATGACAATGTTGGCTTCGTCAGACAAGTGAATGGGGTCAGTATCAGCCTGCCTCAGCCAATCCAGCCTGAGGCAAGGATTTAGTATATGAAGATGTACTCAACACACAGCGTCATCACCGTAAAGTCAAACTTGCTGATAGAATAAAAACGGCCTCTCAGCACCCCTGTAGGTGCCTATTTCCTGGAAAACTTTGATGGTGATTGTATACTCCACTGTGAAAAGGCTCAGACTCTGAGAGTCTGCCCCACCTGGCATTTTTCTCTGATGCTTTTCTCCCACTCTTCTTCCTCCTCGTTCCCCCTCCTCGTTCAGGAATGCCTGCAGCAATCCCAGCCAAGTGGTGAAGTGTTCTGAGAGTGCCTTTGGAAGTCCATGACTTTGCCTACACTATCTAGAAGCTTGGTAACTGGCTCCACTGCATAGGACCATATAATAGCTGAAGCCATCTCCCACATCTTAGAGGTCAAGAACAAGACCTCGGGAAAGCTGTCAGAAATCCTTGCCAGCTGCTCATTGATGGAAAAATGAAACCCCGCAGGAGCTCCTCTGGTAAACCCCAGACTGCTATTCTCTGGAAGAGATTCTCAGTCATGTCAACAGCCTCCACAAAATCAATCAGATCTTAACAAAGTTCCACCTTACCTTCTGCACTCTGGTGAAAACAGCACACAAAGAGGGGGAGACTTCCTTTGGGAGAGATACCAGTGCTATCTATGATTACACTAAAAAATGTATCTGCTTTTACCCGTTCCTGGAGCTTGTTCTGGATTGAGGGGCCCATTAGCTTGACCAGTTCATTTTACAAGTGTTCAGCTGTTTCCAGAGTACATAGCTAACATTTTCTTTTAACAGTGGGTCCAGTTCTGTAATATAATGTGAGAATGTATATATAATCTTAGTGTTAGTGAGCTTTCCATGCAAAGGAATATTCTGTCTTCCACGGAGAATAAGGAGTTTAATTATTTATTTTAGGGCATGATGATTTCTTTCTGTCAACTACTTATACTTAAAGGCAACAGAAGCCTTCACATTTGCTGTGGCCTTACCACGTTCCTTAGATCTGCTGTATTTCCCAAGTATTTTCTTGACACTGGACCAATCTTTTGAAAGCACAGAACCCAACACTACCTCTTTAGTTGCTAAACACAAAAAACAGACCACAAAATACCCCATCCAGGCATTTGGAGTACTGGACAAACTTGTACTGCTGAAGAGCTGGGTGCTACATCCCAGTAGTCCTGACCCATGTCAGAGTCCATCACCTCTTTGGGAACTGGTAGCTGGAAGTGAGGCAACTAATGGGTTGCTAAAACAACAACAACAACAACAACAACAAACCCTTCATTTGCTCTTACTAAGGTCCCCATGATTTAATAGGCCAATGTCTTCCTCATGGGCATCTTTCATCTTTCAGAATACGCCATCACCCGTGGTTTGTGACCTTACCTTCTGCTCTACAATATAAAAGATCTAAAACTTCGCCATTGATAAAACCTTCAGAGTTCTTTCCTTCTATATGTCTCATCAGCATTTCTGTGACCTAAACATTAGCTCTGACTGAGAAAAGTAAAATCTGCATGGCTCTTCCTTTAGGCAGAAAAAAAAAGATACAAATAAAGACTATTATAAAGTTAAAAAGAAACATTATGTCTGCCAACCAATACTACATCTGTACAGTGTCATAATAACCTTCTTCTTTGAGCACTACCACTTTCTTACTCATGTAGAAACTTTGTTCTCTAAAATCAAGGACTCTCAGAATGAAAGTTTCTTTTTGTAAGATTTTATTTGAGAGAGAGAGCACGAGGGGGAGGAGGGGCACAGGGAGAGGGAGAAACAGACTCCCCGCTGAGCAGTGAGCCAGATAATCATGACCTGAGCCAAAGGCAGACGCTTAACCGAATGAGTCACCAGGCACCCTGAGAATGAAAGTTTCAATTAACCACTCAGATGCAAAGCTTCAGAAAAGGGGTTTCTACACAAAATTCTCAGACACAGGACCATGGGTCCATTTTGCTATCTAGGACTGATGTTGACCCCTTTACACAGTCCTGCTTTGCATCGAGCCTATCAAAACAGCGTTTCATTTAAATTTCATCTAAACTTTACATCTGCCCACAATTCTGTAGCTCAGTCTTTTCCTTCGTTTGCTTAAATGACCCATGGTGTCTCTGGTGTGCAGTCTCCCTCATTACAATGAATCAACGCACCTGATTTTGCAGGACTACAGGTTTATTCCTGATGGCTTTGGGTTGCTTGGGCTGAGACACTGTCTTGCTCGGCTTTCGTGCTCCTAAGATGAAAATTTTGAAAGTAGATGTAACATGCACTTTTTTTTCACTCTAAATATATCGTGCCAGGTAGGCTTAGGACTACCATGCCAGTTTGGTCATAACTGGGATGTGTTCACATCTCGGAAAGGTTACAGGAACAAGAAAGAAGTCAGGGTTCTAGGTAGCTTTCGGTTCACTTCTTGAACAGGCTTAGATTTCTCTTTTGGGAACTCGACAAACATTTTGTCTGCTAAACTGACGCTTCCATCCCCCGTGACTGAAAGAAACAAAGGAGACACCCCTACTCAGCTGAAGCTGACAGGTACTCTGGGATCCAGCTGATTACAGGAGTACAACTCTGGACACGCTGACACCCGCAGGGACTCTAAGGGGAACTGGGCGTGTTGCTGCCGTCCTCCGCGTCCCCCAGCCGGGACCCGGGACCAGCTCTACCTCTCTGTTCGGTGCTCCCTGGCAGAAAACCAAAGCGGGGCGCCCGTCTTTGCCCCTCACATCCATCTCTGGCCACAAGCAAGCGCAGGGGGGCGCAGCTTCAGACCGACATAGGTTCCAAAATAGCCCACGCGAACGACCCTCGAAGGATCCAAGCCTAAGAACGCCTGCAGCTCGCCACGTTTGTTAACAGGCACGGCCCTCAGCTAGCCCTTCCTCTCGGTGATTGGACGAGCAGAGACGGCGGAGGGCGGGAAGCGTGGCTCCGCAGGGAGGAGCCGGATAAACTACTGGGCGTGTCCACGACGCCATATTGGGTCCTGGCGTGGTCCTGAAGTTGCCCTTCCTCCCGGTGATTGGACGAGCCCGTTGGGGGTCCTGGAAGGGGCGTACCCAGCCAACTTCAGCTGTGCGCTTGGGCTGGTCGTCTGGTTTCTGAGGTCTGTAGCTGTTGATTTTCTTGCTCATTCCTGGACGCCCGCCACCTCGCGAGGTACATAAGTCTTAGTTGGACTTACCTACCCATTCTAATGGAGCTTCGAAGAAATCTGAAAACCTCCTTGGAGTTGCTTGGGGAGGGGTCTTTAGATGCTTCTTCATGGACGTGGTGTCATTCTTCAGGGAGAGTGGGGATCATATCCTTGGAAGAGGGGACACAACTGCATGAGTAGCCGCGAGACTTATAGCTACAACGGGATTAGGAGTGAGGGATGCAGAATTGCTGGGGGGAAAACCTAGGAAGGTGTTGGGGTGAGATTTTGGGGGTCCTTGAATGCCAGGCTAGGGAGTTTGGACTTTATCCCGTAGAATAGGGGATAAAAATGAACATTTAGAGAACTTTAAACAGGGGTGACATGATCAGATAGTGAAATTTATTTTATTTTATTTTTTTATTTTTTTAAGATTTTATTTATTTGACAGAGAGAGACACAGTGAGAGAGGGAACACAAGCAGGGGGAGTGGGAGAGGGAGAAGCAGGCCTCCCACCAAGCAGGGAGCCCAATGCGGGACTCAATCCCAGGACCCTGGGACCATGACCTGAGCCGAAGGCAGACGCTCAACGACTGAGCCACCCAGGCGCCCCCAGATAGTGAAATTTAGAAAAATAATTCTGTAACTGGAGAATCCCAAGGTATTTCTTCAAGTGTGTTTCAGTGAACCAGTTGGGGAGCTTGTTTTTAAATGCAGATTCTTGCCCCTCCCTAGACCTGCAAATCAGATTATGCGCAAATCTGAGAGTAAAGATTTGAATTGTCACAAGCTGACCATTAAGAGACATCACCAACAGCTCAGAAGCCTCTTACTCCCCAGCCACTGCTGCCTGCACCAAGGTTAAACATGATCATTACTTCTAAGAATCATAGATTGCTTGTTTTGAATTTTATATAAATTAAATCATACAGCATATACTCTTTGTATCTGGCTTATTTCGGTGTTATGTGTAAATTCATCAGTATCGTTCCTTATAGTTGCTGTTGACTCCATTCCTAACAACTTTTATCCATTCTCTTACTTATGGCCTTTGAGTAGTTTCCAGTTTGGGGCTTATTAGCAGAAAAAAAGTGCTGCTATGAACTTTCTTATTCATGCCTTTTGCTTTGAATTATAAAGCAAGAGGGTGCCTGGGTGGCTCAGTCATTAAGCATCTGCCTTCAGCTCAGGTCATGATCCCAGGGTCCTGGGATGGAGCCCCACATCGGGCTCCCTGCTCAGCGGGAAGCCTGCTTGTCTCTCTCCCTCTCCCCCTGCTTGTGTTCCCTCTCTCGCTGTGTCTCTGTCAAAAAAAATGAATAAAATCTTAAAAAAAAAAAAAAAGGTAATTATAAAGCAAGATCCCAAGGTCTAAATACTAACTCATTCACTACCTGTTTATTGAGGCTACTGTACAAAGAAAAAAATGGCCAAAGTCCTGCCCTCATGGAACTGATTCCAACTGGTACAAAACTATTATCTGTGGACAGAAAAATAAGTCAAACAATTGCAATTGTGATAATAGCTCTGAGGAAATAAATTGAGCTAAGACAGGAGGAAGGGGACTAACCTATTTTTTTATGTGATAGGTTAAGTCTCTTAGAAGAGATATCTGGGAAAAAATACAAGAGATGGTTGGCACTGCCATGCATTGAGTATGAACAGAGGTGAGAGCATTCTTGGCAGGACGAGTCACCATGTGAAAAACTCACAGACAAGGAGAGAACTTGGCCTGTTCAAGACCAGTGTAGCTGAGGCACAATAAGGATGGGAAAGGAGGGATGACACAGGTGTGTTTGAATATAGGAGCATATGATGCAGGGCTTTATAGGCTAGAGTAAGAAGTTTAGATTTTATTTTTTTTAAGATTTTATTTATTTGAGAGAGAGAGAGCACAAGCGGGAGGTGGGGCAGAGGGAGAAACAGACTCCCCTGCCTAGCAGGGAGCCCAATGTGGGGCTCTATCCCACGACTGCAGGATCATGACCTGAGCACCCCTAGATTTTATTTGAAAATACTGTAGAAAACCACTGAAGTGTTTTAACAATAAAGTGATGTTATCTGATTTTTTTTTTAAGATCCCTATGTCTGATGAGCAGAGAATAGATTAAGGGAAGCAGTGGAGAAAGCAGGTCATTTAGGAGGCTGGTAGAACAGTCCTGGAAAATACTAGCATAGAGTTTAGAAGAAAGGACTGAAAGACATTTGGGAATTGCCAGTACAACGATCTCCTTAATCCAGCGATGAAAGATAACACTGTATATTTAGGCAAAGAGATATCCTATGCGTGTATTCTTATGTTTTGCATCAAGGGCACAGCATTTCTACCAAAAATGCATAATCTGAATCTGATCATGGGGCAAACTACAAGGTCATATTGAAAGACAGTCTATAGGGGCGCCTGGGTGGCTCAGTCGTTAAGTGTCTGCCTTCAGCTTGGGTTGTGATCCCAGGGTCCTGGGATCGAGCCCCACGTCGGGCTTCCTGCTCAGCGGGAGGCCTGCTTCTCCCTCTCCCACTGCCCCTGCTTGTGTTCCTGCTCTTGCTGTCTCTCTCTGTCAAATAAATAAATTTAAAAATCTTTAAAAAAAAAAAAAGTCTATAAACCAATTTGCCTGTATTTTAAAATATTATTAGTATTATAGTATTATGAAAGACAAAGATGTAGGAACTATTATAGATATTAAGACTAGACATGACAGCTTCCAACTTGTAACCCTCCATTAGATCATGAAGCAGGAAACAAAATTTTCCTTTATTTGCACTAAAGGACATAAGTGGGACAACTGATAACATGTGAATAAAACTACAGAATAAATGATAGATTATGTTAGTATAATTTTCCTGATTTTGATCATTGTACTGATTATGTAAGATAATGTCCTCATTTTTTAGGAAATGGCTGTTAAGAGATAAAGGAACATTTTGTCTAACATCCTCTCAAATGATTCAGAAAAAAAATGATAGAACAGGGGCACCTGGGTGGCTCAGTTGGTTAAGCGGCTGCCTTCTGCTCAGGTCCTGATCCGGGAGTCCCAGGATGGAGTCCTGCATAGGGCTCCCCGGTCAGCAGGGAGTCTGCTTCTCCCTCTGATCCTCCTCCCTCTCATGCCATCACTCTCTCTCAATAAATAAATAAAAATCTTTTTAAAAAAATGATAGAACAATAAAGCAAACATAAAATGTTAACATTTGGGGAGAAGTGCCTGGGTGGTTTAGTCCTTAAGCATCAGACTCTTGATTTCTGCTCAGTTCATGATTTCAGGGCTGTGAGATCAAGCCCCACGCCGGGCTCTGCATTGGGTGTGGAGCCTGCTTAGGATTCTCTTTCTCCCTCTGCGTCTGTCTCTCTCTTTCAATAAATAAATTCCCTCTGCGTCTCTCTCTCTCTCTCTCTCTCTCTCTCTCAATACATACATACACACATACATAAGTATGTATATATTTGGGGAATCTAAGAAGCATTTATGGGAATTATTTGTACTAGTTTTGCAACTTTTAAGTCTTAACTACTTTAAAATAAAATGTTAACAGAATTGCTGGGATCACTTAGAGAAAAAAATCTAGTACTAAGCCATGAGTAACAACATTTAGACCAAAATCTGAAATATTTATGAGTAACAGAAGGAAAAACGGAAGAACGTTAAAAGAAGTAAAATGAAATGTGGACACAGTTATAATGAAAGGCATAGCTTCTGTGCTCTTCCTCACCCGAAAATCCTAAGAGATGACCTGCCTCCCGCTAGCCAATCTCACTGCTTGTTGCTGTGAAAAGGTAGCAAACCTCCGACAGGCTCCCGCCATGTTTTCCCAGAGAGCATGCGTGCACGTATGCACGTTAACTACCCCAACCAATCGGTGCTCACGTCGACGACTCGTTCATCTCAGGGGCGGGGCGGCCTTCTACACATGCGCACGGTCCGGCGGGCCTTCTTCCTTCTCGCCGAGCGCCGCCAACATGGTGAGTATTGCTGTTCGGGGCTCCTGGTCTGGCGGCCATGCCGCTCCACTTCCGCCTGGTAGGGGAAACGAAAGCTTGGGACGACCCCCATCGGAGCTTAGGTAGCGTGCGGTGAGGGTCCCTGGGCGGGGGGATCACGGAGTTTAGGAGCTTCCCGGGCGCGCGGCCGACGAGCGCGTGGAGGGCTGTGCAGGCCCGGCACGCCGTGGGCCTCGCGTGCGCGCCGTGGCCGCCAGAGCTAGAAAGCTGGAGCGGCCCGGGGCGTACCGGGGCCCAGCCGGACTGGGGCTTTGAAGGCCCCATACGCCTGGAGGCCAGCGGGAACCCGGCTTTTGCTGCTGCCGGCTCTGCGTATTTCGTCCATCCATCAGGTCGTCCCATGGCACTTGGGCGTGTTCCCCCAGCGTTCTTTTCGCTATACTTAGTTACACTGCCTTTGAACAGCAAAACCTTATAAACAAATGAGTATTTTTAGTAAGTCTCATTCTCTCCCTTCCCCTCGATTTTAGGTGTTCAGGCGTTTCGTGGAGGTTGGCCGGGTGGCCTACGTCTCCTTTGGGCCTCATGCTGGGAAGCTGGTCGCAATTGTAGATGTTATTGATCAGAACAGGGTAAGTGTAAGGAAAAGTGTCAGTTTCACATGTTATGACTGATACGCAGTATAGATGGTAATTTTCCCAACGGCCCTCTAAGGTAGGAATATTGCGGGTGGTGGGTTTATTTTACCATTGAGGAGACAGGCAGTGCGAAATGGGGATTTCAAGCACAGACTTGAGTTGGCCAGTATTACTGAGTTTGAGTATTACCTCTGCCACTTAAGGCATACCTTTTAAAAGATTATGGGTTGAAACATTGGTGAGGTTTAAATGAGTTCGTCTGTGTAAAGCGAGTTTAGAACAAAGCCAGGCACATAGCCTTCTATGCCCTTGTATGCTACTGTTGGTATTTGAGGACCACAAACTAAGGGATTGACCAAAGATTGTGAATGAACATAACATTGATTGTTGGAAACATAAGGATTAAAGACTTAAAAATTTTTGTCCAGTAAGTTACATGGAGTTAGGTTATAGGCTACACTACTAATAGTAGTTTTATCTTTCTTAAAAGCATTTAAGTAGTAGAGATTTGGTGATTCTGAAAAGACCTATATATAGACGATCCGCTCGGGTTGCTATTATGTTCTGCACTGAGATTTTTTTATCTTGTTCTAGGCTTTGGTTGATGGACCTTGCACTCAGGTAAGGAGACAGGCTATGCCTTTCAAGTGCATGCAGCTCACTGACTTCATCCTCAAATTCCCTCACAGGTAACTATCCACCATCCAATACCCCTCCCTTAGCTTTGCTTATATACTGGTAAAAGTTTGCTTAGATTAATTCAAAAAAGTTTTGCTATCTTGTTTCTTGAGAAAGAACGTAGTATACAGTGTTGAAGAGTAAGCAGTTCAGAAGAGGGATTTTCAGAATAGAAGTAGGTGGCCATTGTTTACTTTTTAAATGTCCTGTGATTATCTTTCCACCCTGCCAGTTCTCTGGCTCTGTCTTTATTCAGATTTGCCGTCCTTTTTCTTGTCCCCTTTCAGGATTTTCACAACAAAGACCTTCCTAAGGAATTCTGGTCTCCCAAACATGTTTTAGTCACCTATAGCTTCAAAACAAAAATACCAGTTCTTTTCTCTCACAATACTAGTTGTCATTAGTTGAGCTTTTAGTGTTTGTCAGTTATTAAGTATTTGACATATGTCATCTTGTTTTGATAGCTACTAAGGAGGTTCTATTCCTGACTCCTTATAGGGAATTGAGGGAATCAGTAGTGATTCTTTTTTGATGTGATGTAGATTATGGAAGTTAAAACACTGTGGTGGTTACTCTCGGTACCGTCGCAGACAGCCACAGTGGAACATGTGTTGTAACATGTCCTGCTGGTTTATTTCTTAAGCATGCAGGGATTTGATACTTGAAATATTTGAAAGAAACTTCAAAATGGTTATAATTAGATTTTGTGGTGTTTGGCCACATCTCTTTAAGCATTATTGTACAGAAGGCCTGAGGATTAGCTTTACCTCATTCTTTTTTTTTTTTTTAAAGATTTTATTTATTTATTTGACAGAGAGACACAGCGAGAGAGGGAACACAAGCAGGGGGAGTGGGAGAGGGAGAAGCAGGCTCCCTGCTGAGCAGGGAGCCCGATGTGGGACTCGATCCCAGGACCCTGGGATCATGACCTGAGCTGAAGGCAGTCGCTTAACCAACTGAGCCACCCAGGCGCCCGCTTTACCTCATTCTTTATGAAAAGGAAATTGCTTTGTATACATCCACTACAGTAGAGTGATGTTATATGCAAGATCAGAGGTAATTTTTAAACACAGAAAATGAGCTGGTTTGCATTTTTTATTAAAATGGTGTGTTTGAGGGGCTCCTGGCTGACTTAGTCTGTAGAGCATGTGACTCTTAATCTTGGGATTGTGAGTTTAAGCCCCATGTTGGACCTAGAGCTTACTTTAAAAATAAATAAAATCATGTGTTTGGGATTGTAAGACATCCTGGTTTAGTGAACAACATTCAAGTAAGACATAGTGTGCCAAGTGGTATGTGGCATATGGTGTCACCTAGGGCTGGAGGTATAATGAATGAGAAAGGTACTTTTGACATCATTTTGCTTATGCTTTTTAACTTAAGGGAGTATAAATTGTGCTTTCAGAGGGCTCACAGCTGTCCGTGGATCTGTGTGGCTTCAAAGCTGATTTCTTAATCGGATCTTGGCTCTTTCCTAGTGCCCGCCAGAAGTATGTCCGACAAGCCTGGCAGAAGGCAGATATCAATACAAAATGGGCAGCCACAAGATGGGCCAAGAAGATTGAAGCCAGAGAAAGGGTAATGGCTCAGGGTCATTTGAATTGTGACCTTTTCTTTTTTGGAGGGGTGATAGGTGGCATGAGCGATTATTTATTTATTTTTAACAGAAAGCCAAGATGACAGATTTTGATCGTTATAAAGTCATGAAGGCAAAGAAAATGGTAAGTTTTTAAATTAATACAGGATTTTTATATTCTAACCCTAAACTTGTTTGGTAATTCTGCTTGCCCAAGCTTGGTAGATCAAAGTTGAATTCATAGGGGTTTTAGACATAAGGTTTGTTTTCTTGCATATGTATTCTCTACATATAGGATGAACAACAAAAGAGTTTTTTGTGTGCATACATGATAAATAACTTACATTGAAATTTTTCAGAGGAACAGAATAATCAAGCTTGAAGTTAGGAAGCTACAAAAAGCAGCTCTCATGAAAGCGTCTCCTAAAAAAGCACCTGTTGCTAAGGGTGCGGCTGCAGCAGCTGCTGCAAAGGTTCCAGCCAAAAAGATGGCCGCTGTGGGCAAGAAGGCTCCAGCCCAGAAGGCTCCTGCCCCGAAAGCTGCAGGCCAGAAGGCAGCACCTCCAAAGGCTCAGAAGGGTCAGAAAGCTCCAGCTCAGAAAGCACCTGCTCCAAAGGCATCTGGCAAGAAAGCATAAAGAGCATAAGAGGCTATTAAAAACAAGTAATAAAGGTTCTTTTTGACACGCTGCCAAGTGTACTTGATCTGTGGCATAAAGTCTATTGCTAGGGTCAGGACTATGGAGCAGATTGATAGGATTGTTGATGTTACCGTTAAGAGTATTGTTTTTTTAGCCCCGGTCTGTCCAGTATAAAGCCATCACAAAGTCATAACTAGTGTGCTCATAGGAAATGGATCGTTTATAGCACTGGGTGAGTTTTTCCCCTTGTACAAATATATTTCCTATGAAGTCCCAGCAGATTTTGATGCTTGAGAGGTTAGTAAATTTTCTTTAAAAAAATAAAGTGTAGGAAACCAAGACAAGTAAACTAAATAACGTTATGGTACGATAAAGTTTTTCTGTTCTTATTTCCTTTTATTTCTAACCAAAAGCTGGCTTCTGAGCCTCACTGGGATTCATGGGGACAAAACTCATTTTGCTTGGTGATACTAATAGGCAAGTGATGTGGTGTAGATAGGGGTAATGCAGGCAGTTTGGGGTTACCCAGCCTTTCCTGAAGGGTGGGGAGTTGTCTAGGTAAATGGGGATTTTAAGCTACAAGAAGGTTGGTATGTAGGTTGGGAATGTGGTGGGCTGGCTAGAGAGACGCCAGAACAAGGTGTCAGGTTAGTGTTAGATATATGAGTGTAATGAGCCATTGAGCATTTCCAAATGGTGATCCCTCAGATTTCGGTCTTGCTGTTGGGACTGAATCTTAAGGGAAGGGTACTGGGAAGGTCAAAGGTGGTACCAGGTTTGGCAGTATTCCTCACCTTGACGGTGGTCCAAACCAAGAGGCAGTAGTGCCACCATTTAGTAGGCCTTCATGGTTTGGGCTAGAAGGAAAGTAAGAAAGCCAAATGTGCTAACAGTTTCTGGTTTGTACTTTTGGCTCATTGTGGAAGAAGAGAGCTGGAACAAGGTTACTCCGGGGATATGAGTTTTAAGGCACCACACAGATTTCCCAGTTTGGTAGATAATGGGTGCTGACAACGTGCGTTCAGGTCCTGGCTCTGCTGCTGAAAAGCTGTGTGGTTTAAGCATGTTCCTATCTTCAAGCCTGGTTGCCTCCTATGTGGTGTACTTTTGTGGAGTAGGGAAGTAAATCATGATTGGACAGCCCAGTGACTGGTTCATAGCAGGATCCGGGATAGTTGTGACAGCTCCTAAAGACAGATTTGGGGTTCATGGGTATGTAAGCAGTCAGTCAAGATTGCCCAGGGACAGAAACAAAGATTGGGAAGGAGTGATCAGAGGTGGGAAACCAGGAGGTGGACATGGAAGCCACGGAAAGTATATTGGTTATTGTCAAGGTGTGAGGGATAGAGGGCAGTGAGGCAAGAAGTGTTACATGGAGCTTGGAGGTTTTAATTTTGTAAAGGAGTGATGGGCATGTTTGGATGCTTCTGGAAAAGCAACTAATTGGAGGAAAGGAATTCCGTTTTTGAGGAAAGAGGACAGAATGGAGCCTAGAGAAAAGGAGGGATTGATAATGTTTGCATGAGGAGGAAAAAGAAGGGTTTAGAAGCTTAATTTATAGTTGGGCTGTGAGAAAATCACTCAATGGCTTGTTACACTCATGAATCTAACACCAACCTGCCACCTTGTTCTGGTGTCTCTCCAAGCCAGTCCACATTCCCAACCTTCATACCAGCCTTCTTATATCAGAGGTCTCTGATCTCTGAATTTCTCCAGTTAGAAAACAAGGTCACATGCTGAGAAAGGGGGATGAGGGAATGTAGATTTGCAGAGAATGCAGGTTTGAAATTGCTCGTGGAGGAGAGGGGAGAGTGCTGCTGTCAGATTGCCATTGATCTGGAAGGCCCTTAACCAATCCGTGTGCAGTCTGTGCTCAGAGGATGAGAAAGCTTCAGGGTGGAAGCTGCGTTTACGCTGCACCTAGTCAGTACTGCAATATGGAACAGCAGAAATTGGAAATTCCAGTCTAGGGGACCTACAGGAAAGTGACCCAAAAGGAGTAGGAAATACAATAGGTAGGGCCAGAGAATAAAGATTTTTGAGCTAGGTTGGAGTCCTCAGGAAAATCCATCTGGCAGCATAGTCTAGATTGGGGGTGGAAGAGATCAGGAAGTTGTTAAAATACACAGGTACAAATAAGATGCAAAGGCATGTAATAGTCCACTCTGATTATAGAAGACTGCACACTTGTCCAGTGTGGGGAGAATGGCATTAGGAGAGAATACTGGTTTCAGAGTCAGAGTTAAGCTTCAATCCTGTCATGCAGCCCTAGCTCATTCTTGTACTTAACATAAGCCTCATCTAAAGAACAGGGATCCTGATCTGCCTTACCTTGTGGCAAGGATCAAATTGGATGGAGTGAGGACAAAGTCCAAATCCCCAACACCTAACAGTTCTTTTCACACATTAGATATTCTGGGTTGAATTATGTTGAGGTAAACTTGTCCTCTAGGCAAAATTAGGCTGTTGGGTAGTGTGCTTTTCAGAGAGCCTCTGTCCCTTCAGCAGCCTCCAATTTCCAGGTAATCAGTATCTCCCAATTGTGACACCCCACAAGAATTTGTCTTGAATTCCATTTTCTCTACTTCACATGTTTCTTTACCCCTCATCTGTTGGTATCTTGGTACCTAAGTTATTAAAGTTACCTCTAGGTCTGTCAGCTAGCTGATTTTTTTTTATCCAGAATAAATCAAATAAATCTACATTGTAATCAAATATTGGAGTTGAGATTAAAGGGCCCCTTGATTATCTCTACTACAATTATGGTATCTTGCAAAGGAAACCACTGTGTATTCCTTGCAGACATTTTTCATGCATTTACAATAGACCTAGAGTTTGCTTGTTTTAAACACAAATCTTACATTGTGCGTAATCTGCAACTTATTTCTTATAATACATCTGGAGATCTTACCTAGTCAGCCCCCATCAATCTACCTAATTATCTTATGCATAATAATCCCTAGTGTGAATGTTCGAGTGACCTGTTGAAGTTCATTGTGGAGGTTTGTTTGAACTCTATTGATAGACTTCAAGGATAGTGCCAATTTTCTTCTGTCATAAACAGTACTTCTCCGAATATCCTTGCACATTCCTCCTTCTGTACGAGTCATTGTTTGAGGCACATTACCAGTCAGTGCACTTGCTGGGTTGAAGATTGCGTGTGTTTTTAATCACTCCTTTGGTAGTGGTAGATTCTACCAATCTAGTAACCTTGCTCTATCAGTTTACTTCTATCAGCACTGAATGAGGACATTCCTGCCTCACAATCATGAACTCCTTTTATCTTACATTTCTGCCAATCCAATGTGAGAAAAGTAGTATGTTATTTTAATTTGCACTTTCCTGGTCCAATATAACACTGATTATCCTAGCTTTACATTCTGTTTAGCCATTAAGGCAGGTCATTAGAGTTATCTTAAATTTTTTTCCTTTGGGGGGCGCCTGGGTGGCTCAGTTGGTTAAGCAACTGCCTTCGGCTCAGGTCATGATCCTGGAGTCCCTGGATTGAGTCCCGCATCGGGCTCCCTGCTCGGCAGGGAGTCTGCTTCTCCCTCTGACCCTCCCCCCCCCCCCATGTGCTTTCTCTCTCTCTCATTCTCTCTCTCAAATAAATAAAATCTTAAAAAAAAAGAATTTTTTTTTCCTTTGGTAAACTTACACATTTTCAGTTTCAGATAAATTTTATCTTTTTTTAAAAGATTTATCCATTTTAGAGGGAGAGCGTGCGTGCGAGTGGGGTGAGGGGCAGAGGGAAAATTTCAAGCAGACTCCCTGTTGAGTGCAGAGCCACTGCAGGGCTCGGTCCCATGACTCATGAGATCATGACCTGAGCCAAAATCAAGAGTTGGAAGCTCAACCCACCGAGCCACCCAGATGCCCCTCACTTTCAGATAAATTGCTTGTCGAGTTACTTAAGTCCTATTGGGATTTTAGGATTGCATTGCATTTATAGATCTGTTGGGCGTGGGGGCATGCCACATCTTTGCAATACTGACTTCCATCCAAGAACATGGTATATCTCCAATTACTCAGGTCTTATATGCTTTTCAGAATTTGTATATATCTCAGTTTTTCCTTGTAATTTTGAACTAGAGCCTTTCTAAATTGGGCATTAATGTATATAAAAGGGCTATGAATTTTTTATGTGTCCACACTGCTGACCTTCTTACTAGTTCTAATAGTTTTTTTTTTAGTTGGTTTTCTTGGATTTTTATTGACTTTTTTAAAAGTAATCTCTATGCCCAGTGTGGGACTCAAACTCACAACCCTGAGATCAAGAGTTGCATGCTCTACCGACCTAGCCAGCCAGGTGCCCCTAATGGATTATTTATGCAGATGATCATGTAGACAGCTTCTCTCATAATAAAATAGCACTCTACTTCAGTAGGTAAAGTTAGTCCCAGAAAAACAATAGATCCTTAGATGTTTTAATGGATAAACACTGCAACTTCTTTCATATATTCTTTGGTATATTCTTGCCAGTCCTTCAAATAGATGTCTTGAAGATTACCATCCCTGACAAGTACCACAAAGTCTTACCTCAGATACCTGAGTGTTACAAGGCCCTCAAGACCATTTTTGGAATAAGCCTCATTCTATACTTCTGTATAAAACAAATCCTGTAATTGTGGTGAGCTAAGGAATAGAAGTCTGTATCAATTCTGATAATAGTTAATCCTGATTATAGTTATATCAATCCTACTAATTGTTACTCAAATAGTTATTTAAATTATTTAAATTCTTCGTATTGGATATTTTTGGCTATTTGATTTTGAGAGAGTTGTGTTAAAACTCCATTTATAAGTATGGATGTGTTAATTACATTTCTATCAAGCCATTTATGTGCACTGCATTTCATCACCCTATAATTGGACTTCTGTCATCTCTGTTTTCCACCTGCTGACCTCTGGTGTATTACCCCTCCTCCCCTACATTTCCACCCCTTGTTTCTTGAATTGGTTTGGAAGTCGCATACCTTCTATTTCTGTTACTGTTCATCACAGAATTAAACCAATATCTGTATCTTTTACCTACCCTCGCTGAACAATATTTAAAGAGGCAACGTGGGGCACCTGGGTGGCTCAGTTGGTTAAGCAGCCGATTCTTGATCTCGGCTCAGCTCTTGATCTCAGGGTTGTGAGTTCAAGCCCCACATGGGACTCCATGCTGGGCGTAGAGCCTACTTAAATACATAAATAAATAAAATAAAATAAATAAATAAATAAATAAATAAATAAATAAATAAATAAATAAATAGGCAACACGTATTTGGTTTAATATCCTTTACTAATTGCTTGGTTTACCACCGCTGCTTCTGTCCCACCTCTTTCTCTTAGATTCATGCATTTATTTATTTTATTTTCATAGACTGCATCCTCCAGTATTTCCTTCAGTTAGCATTCATGAATGATGAACTTTCTGAATGCTTGCTTGTCTGAAAATATTCTTATTTTCCTTTATATATATGAAATATATTTCTGATAGCAAACATGCGGGTTTTTTTCCCCAAATCAGCCAATTTTCTAACTCTCTGAACACCAACTGGGTGTCCTACAAATTAGTTTAGTTCTTTTTTTTTTTAAGTAGGCTCTATGCCCAGCATGGAGCCCAGCTTGGGGCTTGAACTCACGATCCTGAGATCAAGACCTGAGCTGAGACCAAGAGTTGGACGCTTAACTGACTGAGCCACCCAGGTGTCCCAAAATCAATTTAGTTCTGGCACTGCCAGAGTTAGGGTCGGACCCCACAGCTTAAGGGGTCTGCCCCACTTCAGATGCTGAACGCCAAGTCCCAGGCCTCCTGCACTTCTGACTACCCAGCTAAGAGTTCCCATGACCCCTTCCTCAGGTTTGATAACTTAGGAATGGCTTGCAGAACTCAGGAAAACACTTTACTTACTATTAGCAGCTTATTATAGGGATACGACTCAGGAGCAGCCAAATGGAAGAAGTGCATAGGGTAAGGTGTGAGGGAAAGGGCAAGGAGTGTACATGCCCTCTCCAGCTCATCACCTTCCCAGCACCTTGATGTGTTCACCAGCCTGGAAGCTCTCTGAACTCCCCAGCCCATTAGTGGTTTTTTTTGTGGCGGGGGGGTGGTTTAAGATTTTACTTATTTATTTGACAGAGAGAGAGGGACAGCAAGAGAGGGAACACAAGCAGGGGGAGTGGGAGAGCTAAGCAGGGAGCCCGATGCCGGGCTTGATCCCAGGACCCTGGGATCATGACCTGACCTGAAGGCAGATGCTTAAGGATGGAGCCACCCAGGCACCCCACCCATTAGTGTTTTTAATGGAGGGTCATTATGTAGGCATAATTGATTGAATCATTGACCACTGGTCATCAACTCAATCTCCAGCCCCTCTCCACTCCAGGGGATGGGGGTGAAAGTTCTAGTCACATGGTTGGTTCCTCTGGCAACCAGCCCCTCCCTATTCCTGAAGCTCTTTAGGACCCCCAGCCACCAGTCTCCATTAGCATACAAAATGACACTCTTATTACCCCCAGAGATTCAAAGGGTTTTAGAAGCTTCCTGTGTTGGGAACCAGGGAGAAAGATGAAATGTTATAACAAAAGATGTTCCCACCATCCCTATCACTGAAGAAATAACAAAGGTTTTAGGAATTCTATGCCAGAAACTGGGGAAGAAGCCCAAATAAATATTTCTTTATTATATCACAATATTACATTTTATGTCTGTGTAATAGTTTAGCTCTTTAGAGTTTTAGATTCAAAATGATTTTCCTTTAGAACTTTGTAGGTCATCCTCCAGTGCCCTTACTTGATCTTACTGTGGACTAAGTACTGTTGGTAAAAGCAGGTTCAGGAACCAGAATTTGTTCACTTCTTTGTTCCAGCCAATTTACACAAGTCTCATTTCCTTTTCACAACGTTCCTATTTTCAGAAGAAGCTAAGAGGTGAAAAAAGTTCATTCACTTAGTAAATATTTTTGGAGTGCCTACTAAAAGAGCTCAGTCTACTCAGAAGAATGACACCGAGAAAGCTGATGTCAACACTGTAGGAAGCACTGTTACCGGGGTAAGCGTGGGTAACCTGGAAGATTATCACCTAGGACATCAGAAAAGACTTCTTTGGGATGTGTGGATGGCTCAGTTAAGTGTCTGCCTTCAGCCCAGGTCATGATCCCAGAGTCCTGGGATCCAGCCCAGCATCGGGCTGCATCAGGCCGCATCTGGCTCGGTGCTCAGCGGGGAACCTGCTTTTCCCTCTTACTCTGTAGCTCCCCCTGCTTGTGTACTCTCTCTGTCAAATAAATAAATAAAATCTTAAAAAAAAAAAAAAAAAAAGACTTTTCAAGTGACAGCTATTCTATTTTTTTCCCAAAATTTTTATTTAAATTCTGGGTAGTTAACATACAGTGCAATATTGGTTTCAGGAGTAGAATTCAGTGATTCCTCACTTATATACAACACCCAACCCAGTGCTCATCACAAGTGCCCTCCTTAATCCCTATCACTCATCTACCCCATCCCCCACCGACCTCCCTCCATCAACCCTTGGTTTGTTCTCCATCGTCAAGAATGTCTTATGGCTTGCTTCCCTCTCCTTTTTCCCCCCTTCCCATATGTTCATCTGTTTTGTTTCTTAAATTCCACATATGTATGAAATCCTATAGTATTTGTCTTTCTCTGACTTATTTCATTTAGCATAATGCACTCTAGCTCCATCCACGTCATTGCAAATGCAAGATTTCATTCTTTCTGATGGCTGAGTAATATTCCATTGTATATATATGCCATGTCTTTTTTTAAATTTGTTATTGTTATTTTAATCTCCATACATTACATCATTAGTTTTTGATGTAGTGTTCCATAATTCATTGTTTCTGCATAACACCCAGTGCTCCATGCAGAGCATGCCCTCTTTAATACCCATCACCAGGCTAACCCATCCTCCCACCCCTCTCCCCTCTAGAACCCTCAGTTTGTTTCTCAGAGTCCATAGTCTCTCATGGTTTGTCCCCCCTCCGATTTCCCCCCCTTCATTCTTCCCCTCCTGCTAGCTTCTTTTTTTTTTTCTTAACATATATTGCATTATTTGTTTCAGAGGTACAGATCTGTGATTCAACAGCCTTGCACAATTCACAGAGCTCACCATAGCACAGACCCTCCCCAATGTCTATCACCCAGCCACCCCATCCCTCCCACCCCCCTCACTCCAGGAACCCTCAGTTTGTTTCCTGAGATTAAGAATTCCTCATATCAGTGAGGTCATATGATACATGTCTTTCTCTGATTGACTTATTTCACTCAGCATAACACCCTCCAGTTCCATCCACGTTGTTGCAAATGTATGCCATGTCTTCTTTATCCATTCATCAGTTAATGGACATTTGGGCTCCTTCCATAGTTTGGCTATGTTGACAAGACTGCTATAAACATCAGGGTGCATATGCCCCTTCGAATCTGTATTTTTGTATTCTTTGTGTAAATACGTAGTAGTGCAATTGCTGGCTTGTAGGGTAGGTCTATTTTTAACTTTTTGAGGAACCTCCATACTGTTCTCCAGAGTGGCTGCACCAATTTGCATTCCCACCAAGAGTTTAAGAGGGTTCCCCTTTCTCTGCATCCTCGCCAATATCTGTTGTTTCCTGAGTTGTTCATTTTAGTCATCTGGACAGGTGTGAGGTGGTATCTCATTGTGGTTTTGATTTGCATTTCCTTGATGATGAGCAATGTTGAGCATCTTTTCATGTGTCTGTTAGCCATCTGGGTGTTTTCTTTGGAAAAATGTCTATTCATGTCTTCTGCCCATTTCTTAACTGGATTATTTGTTTTTTGGGTGTTGAGCTTGATAAGTTCTTTATAGATTTTTGGATACTAGCCCTTTATCTGATATGTCATTTGCAAATATCTTCTCCCATTCTGTAGGCTGCCTTTTAGTTTTGTTGACTGCTTCCTTTGCTGTGCAGAAGCTTTTTATCTTAATGAAGTCCCAATAGTTCATTTTTGCTTTGGTTTCCGTTGCCTCCAGCAAGGTGCCTAGTAAGAAGTTGCTGTGGCCGAGGACGAAGAGGTTGCTGCCTGTGTTCACCTCTAGTATTTGATGGTTTCCTGTCTCACATGTAGTTCTTTCATCCATTTTGAATTTATTTTTGTGTATGGTATAAGAAAGTAGTCCAGTTTCATTCTTCTGTGTGTTGCTGTCCAGTTTTCTCCACACCGTTTGTTGAAGAGACTTTTTTCCATTGAATATTTTTTCCTGCTTTGTCAGATTAGTTGACCATAGAGTTGTGGGTCCAATTCTGGGTTTCCTATTCTGTTCCATTTATCTATGTGTCTGTTTTTGTGCCAGTACCATACTGTCTTGATGACTACAGCTTTGTAATATAGCCTGAAGTCTGGAATCGTGATGCCTCCTGCTTTGCTTTTCTCTTTCAGAACTGCTTTGGCTTTTTGGGGTCTTTTGTGGTTCCATACACATTTTAGGATTGTTTGTTCCAGCTCTGTGAAAAATGCTGGTGGTATTTTTTTTTAAGGATTTTATTTATTTATTTGAGAGAGAGAGCAAACATGAGCAGGGGGAGAGACAGAGGGAGAAGGAGAAGCCGACTACCCGATAAGGAGGGAGCCCAACCAGGGCCTGGATCCCAGGACCTTGGGATTTCGACCTAAGCCAAAGTCAGACACGCTTAACAGCCTGAGCCACCCAGGCACCCCTGATGGTGGCATTTTGATAGGGATTGCATTAAATGTGTAGATTGCTTTGGGTAGTATAGCTATTTTAACAATGTTTGTTTTTCCAATCCATAAGCATGGAATGTGTTTCCATTTTTGTGTCTTCTTCAGTTTCTTTCGTGAGTTTTCAGAGAACAGATCTTTTACCTCTTTGGTTAAGTTTATTCCTAGGTATCTTCTTATTTTTGGTGCAATTATAAATGGGATCTATTCCTTGATTCCTATTTCTGTTGCTTCATGATTGGTGTATAGAAATGCAACAGATTTCTGTACGTTGATTTTATATCCTGTGACCTTGCTGAATTCATCTATTAGTTCTAGCAATTTTTTGGTGGAGTCTTTTGGGTTTTCTACATAGGGTATCATGTTGCAAGTGACAGCTATTCTAGAATCTGAAGGTTTAGGGACAATATCTGCAAAATCAGATACTTTTGAAGGGTTTTTAAAAGCAGAACTGTGCCATGCCCAGATTCATATCTTAGATCACCCTGTCTATCCTGTGGGAAGAAAGGAGCAGAGGGGGCCAGACTGGAGACCAGAACAGTTAGGAGGCTGCTACAGCAATCCAGGTAAGAAGAGATGCAGAGGAAGGGATCAGTTATGACTCCCCCATTGAATGTTTGGTTGGCTGGATGGAGAGTGGTGCTGAATCTATCTCCATAGGGTTAATGAGGTAAAAGGTCACTAGCAAGACCCCCACTGACCCCCTTTCTTCACAGGAATGTTAACCTTATCTTTCAGAGGCAAACAACAGGAAGAGCTCCAGCTGGCCTAAACCAGCTTGAGCTTGACCCCTGGCTTACACCTGTGCAGATGGACCATGGAGTGGTCATTATAATGTTAAAATTTCCCTCTTGGTTAACATAACACAGAATGCATGTATAGGCATGTTTTCTAAGTACACCTGCGCAACCTTATGCCCACCTTTACGTGTGATGACAAAAGTCGCCTTTCTGAATATTCATCCCAACCTTAAGTAAAAAAGAACCCACTTACCTCCACTGGGGGAGTCACAGCTTTGGAAGTTATTCCCCACGATCTCCTTCTTTGCTGCAAATAAAATTTCCTTCGTGTGACAGCTCCACCTGGTGTAGTCTCTACCTGTAACTCACCAAGGATCAAACTCACCTAGTTGGGTTACAGTGCAGTTTGGGGGAGGAGGGGGGGAGGGACAGGGCAACCCTAGAAAGTGGAACAGGAGGGTGAGGGAAGGATGACAAGATCCTTCAGGAACATTCTGAGTTTTAGGTGCCTGTGGATTAGCCAAGTAGAAAGAAACAATGGGCAGGTTGATACACAGGACTCTAGCTCAAAGGTATCTGCACAACGCCTGGCACGCCTGGCCAATAGGAAACACTGCTGCCGGTGCTATCATTCTATTTGGACTGGAGAAAGAGATACGGGAGTGTGTTTTAGGAAAGTGGCAACGACACACAGGAATAACAATGTCCGCAACAACAGAGCTAGAACTTACTCTGACTTACTTATGATGCAGAACCAGAAGTTGTCATTAAGTGCTTTGCACGAGTTGACTCACTCAATGGCCGCACTGAGTTTGTGAGTTCGAAACTACTGCCGTTCCCAACTGAGAAACGGAAGCACAAAGTTTCAGTAACTGGCACAGGCCATGCAGTGAATAGGTGGTGGAGCCGGGATCAGAACGGGGACAGTCAGACCTGGGACTTGGCGACCTCAGGTCACAGCCTCGAAGCCGCTGGACAGAGACCGGGGCTGGGAATTCATTAGGAGAGGAAGTTACTGCTGGCAAGCGCTGGAGCTCGCACGCAGACCCACGCGGAGTGTGGTGCGGACTCGATGTCCCCGAGTTGCTGCTCTCCGGCTGGGGCGCGGCGCCTCGCAGGCAGGGCGGGAGGAAAGCCGGCGCCCGGGCGCAGGTGGCGGGTCTGGCTCGGGACCATGGAGAAGGCCAGCCTCCGGGCTTCCTAGAGCGGCGCGGGTGGGAGCGCCTCCGCTCGCGCTTCCGCCTCGGCTGCGATCTGCGGGAGCGGCCGGGCGTTCGGCGCTCCGCCTCCGCGCGGTGGCGCGCCCCGCACTGTCCCCGAGCTCGGGCGTCGGGGCCCGCAGACGCCGCCCGAGGGGCCCCTGCCCGCAGAGGCGCCATCAACCCTCCTGCCGCGGAGAGCTGGCCTGACGTCCCCCGGCTCGCGGTACTCAGGGTGAGGGCCGGTGACGCGTGGGGTCGCCCGCTTGCCGGGTGGAGTGTGCAGATTCCCGTCGGGTTTCCGGTCAGCGTCGCGCCCTGGGACGTCAGTCGTCTTCCCCTGTCCCCTGGGGCCAGATCACCACTTGCATTTTGTCCCGGGGCCCCGTTACCCTACATTTTCTCTAAATGCTCGTTTTGGTCTTTGCCACCTTTGCTGGAACCATTCAGTACAGACTACTTAGTAATTCATTCATAGTGGGCCAGGGATTTTCTTGAAAGCTACAAAACCACTGCAGTTCTTGACTCTTGCTTCAGAGATATTCTTTCGAGGAATTTTCAGCCTCACCAGGCAGATTTGTAGCATTTACAAAGGAAGCAGATGCAGCACCGCATGAACCACTGGAGAAGGTGCACTGAGAACATCCAGAGTGTCCTAGGAATATTGTTTCCAATGAGAGAGGCACAGAGACTGAGGGGAAAGAGGTGGGGAACGAGGCAGGGTCAGCCTCATTGTGATTCTCTCTCTTAGCTCCACAGGTTCTTGCTTTTCCAAACAGAGAGGGCAGTGCATGAAGCCAGGGGTCGTCAGCCATGCTCCAGACAGTGTGGTCCCAGGTGAGCTGAGCTTTCTTCCAGCTTTCCACCTTCAAAAGAGATACGATAGATGACTATAGGAATAGTAGCCTGGCCTGACCAGCCCCATGCTTAGCGTTGCATCCATCAGTAGAGTATGGCAGAGGAGTATGTTAGGGGAGGTGATGAGGGTGAGTAGGTAAACTTGGGAGGATCAGGTCGGTTGGGAAAGAAGGAAGCACCAGCTAAGAAACTCTCCTAAGAAGTGAGAGTCTACATCCAAGCAGACTGTGGACCATGAATGTGCGGGAGTGGCCGGGCGTTCAGCGCTCCGCCTCCGCGCGGTGGCGCGCCCCGCACTAAGCTGATTGCTAGAAAGGTAGAGTCTCAGGCCCCAACCCAGATCTCCAGAATCAGAATCTACACTTGTACAATACCTGGGGAACAAATGGGCAAGTTAAAATTTGGGGTGTGCTAGTGTGCCTCGCACCATACAGAGGAAGGCCACCTCCTGCATTTAAACAGTCATTCCCACAGGAGGAGTTTGCCCTGCGGATCACAAAGTCAGGGTACAGTGAAGCCACCACTGGGGAGCCTTTGGAGAGAGTGGATTGACGAGGGAGGTGGATTCTTGCTGAGTTTGGAGCTGATGCCAGTGCCTCCGGCCCTTTGCATAGATTACAGCTTAATCTGTGAAAGCCTGTATCCTTTGTTGGCACAAATTCATGCAGCACTGGAAGCAGTTGTCCTTCCAGAATTTTCCTGGCACTAGAGGATGCTTGCATTGAATTTTTCTCCAGCATCCTAGATCAGGGAATGGGAAAGCTGGTGTCTCGTGTATTGGATGTGTCATATAATTAGGAAGCCCTATCCAAGACTTAAGAATAATGTGTATGTAGACATCAGACCGTCCACTTCTGTTTCACCACTTAAGTCAAAATTAGTTCCAAGTCAGGAAGTGTTTAAACATCTGTGGGGGCAGTCTGTTCTCTCCTGGTGCTTTGCGTGGGGTATAGTAGTCACTCAGGATTGGCTTCCAGTAAGGAAACCCCAAGGGACAGTGGTTTAAATGAGATAGAGACTCTCATGCAAGAGAGGTAGGGGAGAGGCAGTCCAGGGACATTGTGGCAGTATTACCCCACACCGGGCTCTTTCTCTTTTTCTGCTTCACCATCCTAGCACTGGCTTTCATGCTCAAGGATGCTTCATGCTGCTTGATCTGCAGCTATCATGTGTGCATTCCAGATAGAAGAGGAGATGACAAAAAAGGCGAACCTCTCATCAGTTTGCACTCTTTCAGGAACCTTCCCAGAGAGTCCCCAACAGTTTTTGTACCTGTGTTTCATTGACCTCACTTAGTTGCCAGAGCTGGGAGCAGCCCCAAGTAAAATTAGGATTCTATTATTAAAAAAGATTAGGATTCTATTATATAAAAAATTAGGATTCTATTGTATAAAAAAGAAAGGGGGGGGGATACGCACATATATGTTTAGACAATTGTCAGTCTTTTTTTTTTTCCTAAAGATTTATTTATTTGAGTGTGAAGGCGGGGAGGGAGACAGAGGGAAAGAGAAAGAGAATTCTCAAGCAGACTCCCCACTGAGCACAGAGCCCGACATGGGGCTCGATCCCCACACCCTGGGATCATGACCTGAGCCAAAATCTAGAGTCAGCTGCTTAACCCACTGAGCCACCCAGGCGTCTCTAGACAACTGTCAGTCTTATCTACGATCTCTATTAGAAATGTTCCCCTAATCTCATCTGTACTTTTAAGTGCTGAGATTTATATAACACCGTGTGCCAGGCGTTGTTTTAGTTCTTTTTTTTTTTTTAAAGATTTTATTTATTTATTTGAGACAGAGAGAATGAGAGAGAGAGAGCACATGAGAGGGGGGAGGGTCAGAGGGAGAAGCAGGCTCCCTGCCGAGCAGGGAGCCCGATGCGGGACTCGATCCAGGGACTCCAGGATCATGACCTGAGCCGAAGGCAGTCGCTTAACCAACTGAGCCACCCAGGCGCCCGTTTTAGTTCTTTACATATTAACTCATTCCACCCTTACAAGAGCCTTGTAAAATAGGTACTCGATTATCCTAGTTTTCCAAATGGGGAAACTGAGGCAAAAGAGTTTGGGTATCTCATCCAAGGTCACACAGCTGATGGTTATCAGAGATAGAATCTTATTTATTTTACAGATAGAGACATAGTAAGAGAGGGAACAGAAGCAGGGGGAGTGGGAGAGGGAGAAGCAGGCTTCCCGCCGAGCAGGGAGCCTGATGCAGGGCTCGATCCCAGGACCCTGGGATCATGACCTGAGCCGAAGGCAGACGCTTAACGACTGAGCTACTCAGGCGCCCCTCAGAGATAGAATTTGAGCCTAGGGAGTCTGACCCTAGAGCTGAGTTTGTCAACCGCAGCACTGTTGACATTTTGGGCCAGATAATTCTTTGTTGTGGGGGGCTGTCCTGTGTATTGTACGATGATTAGCAGCATCCCTGGCCTCTACCCACTAGATGCCAGTAGCACCCCCACACCCCATGGTTGTGACAACTAAAACCGTCTCCAGGGGTCCTGGGATCGAGCCCCACACTGGGCTCTGCATTCAGCGTGGAGTCTGCTTCTCCCTCTCCCTCTGCCCTCCTTCCCCCACTTGTGCATGCACTCTCTCTCTCTCTCAAATAAATAAATCAATCTTAAGGGCGCCTGGGTGGCTCAGTTGGTTGAGCGACTGCCTTCAGCTCAGGTCATGATCCTGGAGTCCCGGGATCGAGTCCCGCATCGGGCTCCCTGCTCGGCAGGGGGTCTGCTTCTCCCTCTGACCCTCTTCCCTCTCGTGCTCTCTGTCTCTCATTCTCTCTCTCAAATAAATAAATAAAATCTTAAAAAAAAAAAATCAATCTTAAAAAAAAAAGAGTCCCCAGACAGCGAGTGCCCTATGTCTCCTGGTGGGCATTTCCCTGTTGAGAAGCACTGCTCTGAAGCCCGTGCTGCGCTATCTCTGAACACACTTCCTCTGTAGGGGAATCAAGAGCCCTGCTTCATCATGGAGGAGTAAGTGCTAGCAAAGGACAGAAGCAGAGTGATCAGAGGTGGAGCAGGAAGTTGAGAAGCTGAATGTTGTAGAAAACAAGGAGCAAGGAATGCATTAATAATTACAGGGGTGCCTCAGAGGTGTGGAGGGGTAGAAGCCATGATATGAGGAAGGAAGGTCCATGTTCCCAGCTGTTGGCTCTGAAGGAAGACAAAAGGTTGGTTAACATTCGGGGGCAATGAACTATCTATTGTGCACTGTCCAGGAAGGTAGCCACTAGCTATATGTGCCTGTTTAGAATTAAAGTTAATTAAAATGAGAAATTCAGTTCCTCAGTCACACGAGCCACATTTAAACTTCCTGGTCAAGGTGATACCTGATTTCTTCAGTGTATAGTTACTATCTTTCCTTGCAACTGATCAGAAATCAATGGGGAGACATTTACAATTATGCAAGTATCCTGCTCCTGGTGGAAATTTCCTCCTCGATGTAGCACCCATGGGTGATTCTTGCCTGAACCAGTCTTTACCATGATGGCTGCAATCCTATATAGTACATCTGTAGTTGTATTTCTTCCCCCCCGGCAGTCACTAGGCATAGAGAGGTTGTTGACGTGACAGACTGGGGTAGAGTTCACTGTCAGTCAAGGAGAGATGGTATAGTGCCACTCACTTGAATAGTGGTTGGTTCACTTTGAAATGTTTGCTTCCTTATACAACCTAGCGATACTCAGATAAAGAGGACTCCCTTTTGTCTATTTTAAAGTGCTTAACATCACTGATTCCCATCATCTGTAATAGGGAATAATAATTTTTACATCGCGTGTGTGTTCTGATGATTGAGTGAATTGATGTAAAAGTAGTTGACACAGGACAAGGGATGGTTTCCTTCTCCCCTGAGAAGGTGGAAGTGGCCCCATCGGGAGCAGGGAGACACACCTGGTACAGAGGGCAGTGTTGGCAGGTCGGACGGAGCTTAGGTGATCTGGGGGCAGGTGCCTGCTCAGGTATGAAGACTGCCATCCTGTCCCTGGAGTCGAGTGTTAGAGGAGGCGACGACACTGCACATTGCCTTCAAGGGACAACCAGCTCTCTGATAAGGTAAGATGGCAGAAAGAGGGAGGACCAACCAGAGTGGAAGGAACTCTGTGCCCGTGGAATTTTTCCTCTGTCTATAAAAACGCATGGAGGGGGGACACCAGAGAGAAACCGAGTGGATGGAGTGGATGGATTCAGGGTGAATGATAGATGCTATGGTCATATTAGAAGACATGCCAGAAAGATCGACCCAGCTCATGGAACCAGACATGGGGTTGATGTGACCACCAGGCAGGGGCGCCTCAGAGGTGTGCAGGTTGAAAATGTACTGAGGGCTGTCCCCAACTGGGGTACGGTTGTGGCTGTCCTTGCCAGTACAAGCCTCCCGAGGGGCTCGGAGCCATGGACTCCAGTAGAGTCAGCCCTTCCCTGGAGTTCAGGCCCCTCCTTAGCCCTCACACAGGGCTTGAGCAGGTGCCTATTGTTTCAGGAGCCAGTGACCTTTGAGGATGTGGCCGTGTACTTCACCCAGAATCAGTGGGCCAGCCTGGACCCCATGCAGAGGGCCCTGTACCTAGAGGTGATGCTGGAGAATTATGCAAACATAACTTCCTTGGGTAAGTCCTTCCTTGTCCCTGAACCAGCTCTGTCCTAAGGGCCCCTGGCTTCCTCCTTGGTGGATCCAGGTCTCTCATATCCCCAGGACTGGTGCACCATGAGCTGAGCTCCCTAATCCCCTGTTTTGGGAGTAGCTAATGGAGAAAGATCTAGGCTCACTTTGGTTTTCAGCAGGATTTGCCTCTTCCCTGTTTCCTGATGGGGACTCTCCTGAGAGGGGTTTTTGCTCTGGGCACAGACAGCTGAGAGGGTTCCTGGATCCTCCACTCTTCCAGTTCCCTGGAGTCCTGGGCTCCATCTGTCCTGTATGAGAGTCTCCTAGGACCCCCTGTATGCACCTCTAATGACAGTAGGAGCTGTCTGTCTTCTCTGATAGAGCCAGAGTAAGCCTCCTCTTGAGCAAAACAATTTGAGCCTTCCTTAGAACCCCAGATTCTTTCCACACTGAGCTCACTTAGTGTCCTGGGATGTCAAATTGCTCACCTGGCAAAGCAGAGGGTGGGCTGAGGGGGTCAGCAGGGACTCTCCTCAGCTTCCTGTTCCTTTTCTTTCTCCTTCAGCAGCATTGCCATTCCCCAAACCAGATCTGATACTCCAGCTGGAGCAAGGGGAAGCACCATGGGACCTGGATCCCTGGACACCCCTTGAGGGAGAGGCCCTGGAAGGTGTCCACACAGGTAAACAGGAGAACTTACCACCTTCCTCTTTGCCTTGGCCTCCTCCTGTCTTTTAATGATTCAACATGAAAAAGGTTTTGCTTCTGTCATACCAGTTCTTAGGATGAAGATGTTCACTCTCATTCAGAAAAGTGACCCTTGATAGAGCTTCAGCTCCATACTGAAAAGGCCCATCGAAAATTTCATTTTCTGTTATTTTTCTTTGCAAACCTAGAGGATTTCAAAAATGCATAGTGAAAATAGGCTTTTGGGGGTCAATTTAGGAATATAAACACAATGTAGTAAGAGCTTGTTTCTCATTTTTAAAGATTTATGTATTTATGTATGTATGTATGTATTTATTTATTTATTATTTGAGTGAGAGAGAAGGGGGGAGGGGCAGAGGGAGAGACAGTCTTTAGCAGACTCTGCACTAAGCACGGAGCCTGATGCGGGGCTTGATCCCACGACCCCAAGATCATGACTGGAGCTGAAACCAAGAGTTGATGCTCAACCAGCTGAGCCACACAGCACAGCACCCCAGAGCTTGTTTCTGTAAGAACATTTTGTGTATGTGGGTGTATGAAACTGTACATGGGAAGAGAGTTTTTATGAATTCCTAAACACTATCAATTAGCTTTTGAAAGAAAGCCTCTTTATTTATTGGGAACGAATGGTTTCCTTTTCTGAAAGGTACAGAATTGAGGTGAATGAGAACCATCCAGAGATTGGGTGTTTAGCCTTCTCATTCAGTTGGCCCTGTTCTCATGCTCTCTCCATCCCTTATGTTGTTCAGAGTCTTATAAACCAAAGGCTTCTTCCTAATTCAATCCACTTCCGCCCTCGTCAGTGCCTTTGTGCTGACTCAGCACTTCCTGTCATCTTTTTTTTTTTTTAAGATTTTATTTATTTATTTGAGAGAGAGAGCACGAGCAGGGGGAGGGATAGAGGGAGAAGTAGGCTCCCCGCCGAGCAGGGAGCCCAACTCAGGGCTCGATCCCAGGACCCTGAGATCATGACCTGAGCCAAAGGGAGATACTTAACCAACTGAGCCACCTAGCACCCCACTTCCCACCATCTTGATGAGAAACCTTTCCCCGCCGACCACCTGCAGTGATGTTTCCCTTTGCCATAGCTGTGCATGGTCTATGTAGTCTGCCAATGGCTTTAGGCCAGTGCTGTCCAATAGGACACTGTCTAGTGATGGAAATGTTCCATATCTGTGCTGCCCAATATGGTAGCCATTGTCCTCATCAGTTCTTGAACTGTGGCTAGTTCAAACAAGGAACTGAATTTTAAATTATGTTCCATTTTCATTAAATTTAAGTAGCCACATCTCAGTCGGTTAAGTGTCTGCCTTCAGCTCAGGTCATGATCTCAGTCTGGGATCGAGCCCCATGTCAGGCTCCCTGCTGAGCGGGGAGTCTGCTTCTCCCTCTCCTTCTGCCCCTCCCTCTGTTCATGCTCTTGCTCACGCTCTCTCTTTCAAATAAATAAATAAAATCTTTAAACAGCCAAAAAAATAAAAATTAAAAAAAAATTTAAGTAGCCACAGGTGTCTAGGGGCTGCCTTATGGGCAATGCAGCTTAAAACAAGTACACAAACAGTCTCCACCTGCCTTTTTAGCTTCTAGATCAGTGGTTTACAATTTCAGTGAGCATCAGAATCTCGTGAGGGGCTTGTTAGAACATGGACTTGCTGGATACCACCCCCAGAGGTTCTAATTCAACAGCACTGGGGTGGGACCCAGGAATTTGCATTACTAGCAGGTTCCCAGGTGATGGTGGTCCAGGGACCACACTTTGAGGACTACTGTCCTTGAGAATCTAAAGCCATACCTTTTAAACTCTGGATTGCAACTCATCAATGAGTTGTGCTCAGCATTTAAAAATTAGTCTGGGGCTCCTGGCTCAGTGGGTAGAGCATGTGGACTCTTGATCTCAGGGTCATGAGTTTGAGCCCCACATTGGGTATAGAGATTACTTGAGATAAATAAATAAATAAAATTTGAAAAATTATGTAGTTGTGAAAAACCTAGTTCTTCTAATAGAGAAGACTCAGTTAAAAAAAAAAAAAAACTAGTCTGGACTATACTAAACTTAAATAGACCAAAATAGTATAAAATCTGCCATAAATGCATCAAAATGCATCACTCTCTCTTTTTTTTTTTTTTTAAAGTAAACTCTACCTTTCTAGCTTCAGAGCCTCTGTTTTCTTTTTATCCTACTAGGTGGTAAAAACAAGACTGAGAGTGAGGAGCAAAGCCCAAGACTAAACATTTCTAAAGACTCAGCGGCCCATAGACTGATGGCGGAGGGGCTGCTCACAGAAGCTCCCCAGCACCCTCACCTTAAGGACAACTTAGGCAGGCCACAGCCGTGTGACGCAGGGGAGAAACCAAACCAAGGAGGTTTCACGGACTTGCTGGTCCAGGACTACAGATCCCCCGTCATCAAAAGGGAGGAGGCAGGCAGGAAGCCGGAAGGAAGCACCGGTGTCAGCACCCACCTCCTGTCAAAGCAGGGCCTCCCTGGAGGACCGGCGTTTTACAAATGTGGTGAGTGTGGCCGATATTTCAGCCAACATTCAGACCTTCTGCAGCATCAGAGGATTCACACTGATGACAAGCCCTACAAGTGCAGAGAGTGCGGGAAAGCCTTCAGGTATAACTCAAAACTCTCCCGACACCAGAAAACCCACACCGGGGAGAAGCCTTACTCGTGTCAGGAGTGTGGACAAGCCTTCGGTCAAAATTCCCACCTCCTTCAGCACCAGAAACTCCACAGTGGAGAGAAGCCCTTCGGATGTCAGGACTGTGGGAAAACCTTCAGCTACAACTCAAAACTCATCCGGCATCAGCGAATCCACACCGGGGAGAAACCCTTTCAGTGTAAGGACTGTGGAAAGGCTTTCCGGTGTAGCTATGACCGAATCGTTCATGAGCGCACCCACACAGGGGAGAAGCCCTACGAGTGTCAGGAGTGCAGGAAAAGTTTCAGTTCAAATTCAGTCCTCATCCAGCACCAGCGCATCCACAGCGGGGAGAAGCCCTACACGTGTCAGGAGTGCGGGAAGGCCTTCCGCCGGAGCTCCGTGTTTCTCCAGCACCAGAGGCTCCACACTGGGGAGAAGCTCTACAAATGCAAAGAGTGCTGGAAAACGTTCAGCTGTAGCTCCCGCTTTACAGTGCACCAGCGCATCCACACCGGGGAGAAGCCCTATGGCTGCCAGGAGTGCGGGAAGGCCTTCAATCAGAAGGTCACCCTGGTCCAGCATCAGCGGCTCCACACCGGGGAGAGGCCTTACGAGTGCAAGGTGTGCGGGAAAGCCTTCAAGTGGAGCGCAAGTTTCATTCAGCACCAGAAGTTGCATGCTCCCAAGAAGGCCACCCAAGTGACAGGGCCAGCCGCGGTTGGGCCCCGCTGCCCCGCTTCCGGCCGCCCCCCTCTGCCTGCCCAGCACGAGCGCTCTGCCCCCTCTGGGCCAGCGGCCGCCCCGTCTTCCCTGCACCCCACGCTCCTTCCTCCCTCCCTGCCTCTCTTTGTGCTGCTCCCCTCGTCTGAAATGGCCAGTTCTTCCCCTGTTCAAATAGTGCATTGCTTTCAGGATCTGACTTCCACTGGGAGCCTGAATCCTTTGTCCCACTCCCCATGAGCTCCCTCATGTGCTCGGCCACCCACCCACCTAGAGTTACCAGTTTCCCCGGGCTCCTGACCATGACTGTGTTTGTCTTCTGGGCCCATGGAGTCATTATTGTTTTCCCAACTCCATTTATGTTCTCACGCGTAAGAACCATGTTTGACTCCTCTCTTCCATCCCCTGGGTGGGAAATGGTAGGAGTTGTCCTTTATGGTGTCCAGTTTGGGCCTGTATCCATCAGTCTGCACCTGCCTTCTCTACTAGACTTGGTAGAGTTTACAGAACACTTTGGGGCTTAGGGGTATGGCATTCCAATGACATGGCCTGTTGTGATTCAAGAAATATGGGAGGAGGTAAGCAGAGAAAGTATCCAGTGATGGCTTTCAGGAATTAAGGAGGGCCATTTGGTGGGGCAGTAGCAAGGCTCACCATGTGGAATCGGAGCCCAGGACTTCTTATTACCTCGATAATGACCATGATGAGGATCCTGTGTAACTAAGCAAGAGACCAAGGAAATAACCAGTAAAAAGAATATGAAGTGATGAGTCAGCATTGATAGCAAGAATGTAAAATCATGTCTCTAAACTTGGTTGGAAGGGGATGTGGCTTTTCTGTTTGGGTTCCTTTTCTATTCCTGTCCACATCCTTGTTTAATTTCAGTGCCCACTCAAACACGTAGGTACGAAAGTGACTTGGGCCCATGCAGTAGAGGGCAGGTGCCTGGGTGTAACCATCTCTCAATACACATGGAGTGAACCTGTTGGCAACACACTGTTGGCGAGCCTCTGAGGGAGGGAGAGAAATCTGACCCTGACTTGCTGTAGCTCTTGCCTCAGAGAGTTCATAACTAATCAAACACACACTCAGATGTGTTCTCACACCTACTCCATGTCCTCTCTGATTAAATCTGAATTTTTGAGTCCTGGTACTTTTAAGTTAATTTTATAATGAACTACTTTGATAACACCAAGAAGTGTGTATGGACACTAATCTTTCTTTTAAGATTTTATTTATTTATTTATTTATTTAGAGTGTGCATGAGCTGGGCAGGGTGGGGGGTGTGACAGGGCAGAGGGAGAGGAAAAGGGAGAATCACAAATTACAAGCAGACTCTGTGCGGAGCGCTAGTCAGATGCAGGGCTCCATCTGATAACCCTGAGATCATTACGTGAGCCGACATCAAGAGTCCCACACTCAACCGACTGTTGAGTGTGGCCCCCTGTTGGTGGGCACTAATCTTACCAGATGTTATGGTGCCACTGGTTTGGCCATACTTTCCATCTAGTGGTATGGGCCCTGATCCTTCTCACAATCACTGCTTCAGGACAGTGTAGCAACATGGGAAGGTACTTTAAGTAGTTAAGCAGGAATACAGCACTAAGGAAAAGATATGCACACTGTTATGATAACACCATACAATTATGTCTGCAAGCAAGGGCATAAAGAAATATTTTGGTTTTGGCTTTGGTTAGGCTTATCGAGATACACCTTATAGCCTTTACCCTTTTAAAGTAGACGGTTTGGTGAGTTTTGACAAATGAATACAGTTATGTAATCAAGATAAAATTTCCATCACCCTCAGCATAGGGAGAAATTTAAATGCTTTGTGGGATGTTGGAGATTTTTCTTTATTTTCTTCCTTGATAAGGTTTGTATAATACATAGAATTCAGGAGAAGAAAAGGCAGAAACCAAACTTACCTTCCCAGCTATAGTCAGAGCTTCCAGACTGCAAAATGCAAAGATCCCTCATCTAGAATCGCTGTTTAGAAAAGCAGTCAAAATGTAGGAAAATGACAATGACTGTGGTTTCTTTGTCATTATTTCTCTCTCACACACACATGAGATATATATAAACATCCTATTTATTTCCCACAAACACCATTCAACAGGGCCTCAGCGTTTCTGGGAGGATTATAGCAAGGAACGGGGTGGGCGGGGTGGTGGTGAGAGGCTCTGAAGCTAGCCAGGCTTCAGAAAAGCAGAACTTTTAAATGTAGTTTAAGATGAGAAGAAAGCAAGGAGTGTAGGGAAAAATAAATATCAGCTCTGGGCTGAAAAATGGCTTTCGATTTCTCACAGCCAATAGATTTATGGGTTTCTGATGATGATGACTGTTATTTTCATTTATTTCTTCCTTTATTAATTCAACACGCTTGTAGGGTTCCCCCCATTGTCGCACAAATGTGCAATAAAGCCTCCACAGCACTTGGTAGGTGCAAAAAGATGAATGATGTGCCATTCTTTTTAATGCGGGGACCAGTGTTGCAAGGTTGTCTGGCACTTAGTAGTCACTCAGATGTTTTTTGAAAGGGTCATGTGTAGCTCACAGAAAGGACAGATGTGTAAAAATAAACTCATACATTACTTAAAATCCAATGTAGGGTTCTTCCAAGAGTTTTGTTTTCTCTGAAAGTGAAATGACTGTAGACATACTGACTCCTCCCTCCCTCCCAAACTTACTAGTTTAACACGAGCAAGAGGACTGCCCACTTCCTTCAGGAAAGGGATATGGGTATCATGTTACCGGAATTGTTTAGTTTTGAGACTTTTGCCTTTATCAGTGAGTTGGCTATGTTATTTAGGACCCTTTAAAAATAACAGAAACCTATTTCAATGAATGTAAGTACACTTAATTTTAAGGATTCCTATGTGTAGCCTGGCACCAAGGGTAAGAATGCAGCAGGAGATCTGGAGCCTGGAAAACCCAAGCGGGAATAACAGGCAGTCTCTGCTCTTTCTCCACTTTTTTTCTTCTTAAAATTTGATTTATTTATTTGAGAGAATGATAGCAAGAGCAGGGGGTAGAGGGAAAAGCAGGCTCCCTGCTGAGCAGGGAGCCCGACGTGGGGCTTGATCCCAGGACCTTGGGATCATGACCTGAGCTGAAGGCAGACAGTTAACTGACTGAGCCACCCAAGCGCTCCTCTTTCTTCACTTCTGATTCCTCTCCCCTCTTCGCAGTGCTGCTCGCTCTGTCCCTAGGCACACAGCAGAGTTTGCCGTGGGTTTCATGTTTACAACTCCATCCAGGGAGCAGCCCAAATGATCTTCCAGACTGTGGCACATTCCTGGGAGAGAGAATCTGATCTGCCCAGTTTAGGTGAGGTGTTCACTTGTCTACTCTCCCCTGGCTGAGGGGTTAGATCACATAGTGTGAATGAGGCTGCTGGGGTCCCACTCTGGTAAGGGGGAGTTAACTGGGCTGATCAGACACCCAAAAGGTATCTCGCGGACTTCTGAGATCACAACCTTTCTCTTGTTTCTATTATTCCAGGTCTCCTGGCAACTAAGATCACTGAGGAGAAGCTTCAGGTATTTTTTTCCCAATGCCTGGAAGCTTTTAGGAATTTAGCTTTGACAGCCCTCTGTGGGAGGTGTTGATCGTCCTCCATTAATGTTTCTTGGTTCACAGTAAGCTCTCAGTCTGTGCATTCAGATCTTTTGTTGATGACTTGTGACTGGCTAGTCTTCGAGTGGAAGAGCTGGTGGGGTTATGGAAAGTGAGGTCATGGTCCCCTCTGATTTCCATATGCTCTGTTTGGGGTAAACAGGCACTTCTGGCCATGGGTTGAATGAGGGTAAATCTCTGTGGCTCTTGGAACTTTTTCTTTGGGGTCTTTGTATATAGCTCACTCAGCAGCTGCAAGGCTGGTTCCCTGGTTAGAGCTCTCCAACTGGTTCATTTCTTGTTATAGTTCTTGATTTTCCTTGTTTTTCCACAGCCACTCCAACATGGAAGTTGACTGGTGATAAAAACAATATGGCTGCATGATTTCTCCTTTAATCTAGCTACCACTGCCATGCCTCCCGAAGTAATAGGCCTCCAGCAGGTACTCCTTCCATCTCCCTTAACCGATCCTACCCTAGTCCTCATCCCCTGAAGCTGAGATTTCTAAGTAGCACCGTCAGAGAGCTCATTGTGTACACTCTCTGTATCCTTTACTGTAACAGAGATCGGCATGCAGTGGGCAGACCTCCTCCTACAGTCGTCTAAACTGTAATGTACTCAGCTGTCCTCAGTGTTTATAGTGTGAAATCTGGCTAATTCTCTAGTTTCCGGCCTCGTCCTCAGGTTAGCACTCAGTATGTCAAGTCTGGCCGTATTAAGACCTCAGAGCTTGGACCACAGACTCCACACTATCATTTTTACCAGTCCAGCCCCTGGACTGGGTTCCAGGAATAGTGCGGGCTTAGGAGATGCAAACAGCTGTCTCCCTGTATGACGTGCCCTGCAGACCAAGAAGTCTGGCTTTTCCATCACAGTTGCACGTGGGACCCCCAAACATTTGCGTCGTTCCTGGCCCTGCTGCGGCCCCATCTGCAGCCAGCTGCTGAGGTCTGTGCAGGCAGGGTTGCAACCAGACCGTCGATACCGCCGCTAGACAGCCGCAACACTGACACCTGCTGCGAAAGGGCGCGGCTTTGCAAGCGGGGCGCGGGAGCGTCCTGGACCAGCGCACCACCGAGAGTGAAACCTCCAGGCTTCCTAGAAGGGAAGGCGGGCTCCCGCGGTGCTTCCGGCTCATCGCTGGTTGGTGGAGCCCGGGCGCTCCCGTGGGAGGGGAACTCGGTTGCGGGTGCTCTGGGTGCGGTAGAGCTGCTGCTCTGAAGCGAGGCTGTTTGGCCCCTGCAAGGTCTGGCCAGCCTTGACTTGAAAGTGCCTGGCCGAGGAGGGCCGTTACCTGCTCCCGTGCCCCGGCCGCGGAGCGGGTTCCTTGGTTCTCGTGCGCACCTGCCTCCGGCCCGCCTTCCTATTGCGGCTGGAGGTGTTGGCTGGCGTCGCCTGCTTCCCGGAGGTCCGAGCGGGTCTGCGCCCACTGCCACCCAGAGACGTCCTTGAGCATCTTTTTCCAGCTCTGATCCGCGGCCGAGCCGCCACCTGCATCTTGTCCCGTAGCCCTTCTCGGTCCAGGCGTCCTCTGCCCTCTTTCTCTCCGGAGGCGGCCTCTCTTAGTCGTGGTGTCAAAGATGAACAAAGCCGGACAGGTTTTAATCAGTAATAATTATTGCAGGAGGGAAAAGAGTCCAGGGTGAACTGGACGCAGTTTTGACTGGTACAGAAGTGACTGGACCTTTTAAAGGGAGAATGGAGGAGGAGGGAGCGGGGTGAGCGGAGGCTCCGTAGAGTTAGGGGAACTCACGTGAAACCCTTATGGGTTTGCTGACCAAGCTTAGGGAAATTTGGCTGCTACCCTCCTCCAGAGACTGGGAGACAGGGACCCTGTCTTCAGGTGTTGGCTGGAACAAACTAAATTCTTTTGGCAGCCCTGAATTTTCAGACACTCTTAAGTGGGGCTAGGGTCATCTTTGGGATGTGGCCCCTTGAGATGTGGCCTTGAGCTATTAATGTTTTGTTGGTCTTTACAGGCCAAGGTTAAGGCTTAGTAGAGAAAGGGCTCAGGAGAGCCTGGCTAGAGTTTGGCCAAGGATAGAATCTTTGTCAATGGTAGGGTCACTGAACACATTCAATAAAGACTATTTTCTCCTCGAACCCAAGCAGTGTAGTGGTTTATTTTGAGAAGACTCGTTCCTTGCCAGCAAGTGATTGGAAAATAAACCAAGTAATTATAACTGTGGGTGAGGGTAGGGGCCAGGCTGCCCTGGTGTGGTAGGATAGTCATTGTTCTGAGTCCAGGAGTCCAAGGATGGTGGGGAGAGATGGGGGAGTAATGCACTTATGGGCTGCAAGAGAGGGGCAATCTCACTCGAAAGTCTTCTGTCTTAGGCTCTTCCTTTTCCAAAATCAGGGAGACAAGCAGGAAGCTGGGACTCAGCAGCTGTCCTCCAGAAAGTGTGGTCTTAGGTGATCCCGATAACCTTTTTTAGGTGAGCTCTCAGAGAAGTCCATACAGGACTCAGGCCTGGCATGGCTCCCCCTTGCTATGCAGTTATGGAAGGTGTATATGTGTGTCTATGCCCATGAGGGTGTATTTGTTTGGGGAAAGTGGTTTGAGGTGAGATGAGATTATCCAGGGAAATATCTTGGATTAAAGAGAGGATATGATATTCAGAAGATCCATTTCAATGTGTGAAGTGGAACCACCTGCCAGTAAAAATTTCTGGGAACTATAAATCCATATCATTTTCAACAAATGAAGTCTACCAACAGGCAAGAAAAGCCTTTTAGGGGAATATGTTCGCTCTGTAAATTGTGTATGCAGAATAGCATAAGAATAGGACTTCTCTGTTAATTCAACAGGTATATACCGAGCTCTGTGTGTGCCATGCCATGAAATAGGCTTTGGAAGTATCAGGGGAACACTACTAATAGTTACATAATGTATTGAGTTCTTATTTTGATAGATAGATAGATTGATTGATTGATTTTTAAGATTTCATCTATCCATTTGACAGAGAGAGACACAGCAAGAGAGGAAACACAAGCAGAGGGAGTGGGAAAGGGAGAAGCAGGCTTCCCGCGGAGCAGGGAGCCCGATGTGGGGCTCGATCCCAGGACCCTGGGATCATGACCTGAGCCGAAGGCAGACGCCCAACGACTGAGCCACCCAGGTGCCCCTAGATTCATTCATTTAATAAATATTTATGGAGTTCCCACTTTGTGCCAGTGGTCACCAAAATTGCCTTCACAGAGCTCTTGATTCTAATGAGTGACACAGACAACACACCAGTGAGTGTATAATACACTATAAGGGAGTGATACATGTTAAAATGGAAAGGTGGGGAAGGGGATATAAAGTGACAATAGTGCATTGAATTCAGGGCAATGATATTTGAGCAGAATAATGCAAGGGAGCAAAACAGGCAGAGGGAAGGCCTAAGGCGTGAACTGTCTTAAAATA